CGGAGGGATCAGAGGGCCCTGATCTGATAGAGTTTGTAACGAAGCTGATAAAGGCTCAAATCGGCCCTCGGTTGCGGGAATAAACCTCGGAATCAAGCGCTGCCACCGGGCACTCGCCCCAAAGCCCCGAGAAGGCGCTTCGCCTACATCTCTGGTGCTGTGCTTTCTGGAGTATAGAGTAAAAGAGATGGTACTGCATTCAGATATTCAAGATCATCAGAAACCAGCACCGTTGCTGTCGAACAGCAGGGCGCCAGAAAAAACTGAGCTCCTGCTGGATGAAGACAGTGTAGGAGGAGAGAGGGAAGGTGTATTTGGTGGCAAACTTAAATAAAAGGGGAAATGACAGGTAGAGGGAGAGACCTGCTGATATATGGTTTGGACATGTGCAGAGGAGGAATAGTGAGGTGACACTGGGCGAAGGATGCTGAAGATGGAGCTGCCAGGAAAAGAAAAAGAGGTTGGTGTGACAGAGGAGGGTTGCTGGGGTGAGATGGCGGCAGATCATCTGCTGTGGCAACTCGAGAGGAGGAGGAAGGAGAAGAAATGTGATAGCAGTTTAAAACACTCAGAAAAATACCTAATTATCAACAGAATAATTATGTCAGTTATGCTGAGGGGTGTGCATGATAACCAGCTGAACAGCTGCTGCCAGCAGGGAACCTTTTATGACACCAGTTTGTAGCTTAAAGCAGAAATTCTTGTTCACTTTCATGTTTTTATTCTAAAATCTACTGGGGCAGCTTTGAATAACTAAATGTTCAACATAAGCCTTCTTTATCTTCATCTCCTGTCTGAACCAAGCTGTTTTAACTCCTCCTCTTTAAGGCAACTTTCTTCTGATTGGCTGCGCTTTGCAAACAGAAGGTGGGCGGACTTTGTGTTTTCACAGCCAACATCTGTGACTATTTATCTGATATGTGTTTACACATCTCTCTGCATTTAATCGTTAGTTATTATTAATCTCTGCCTCTCTTCCACAGCATGTTTTTGTCCTCACTTCCTCCCCCAATCCCAGAACCTGTCACAGCAGATGGCCCCGCCCCTCCCTGAGCCGGGTTCTGCTCTGAGGTTTCTTCTTGTAAAACAGGAGTTTTTCCTCCCCACTGTCGCCAAAGCGCTTGCTCACAGGGAGTTACATGATTGTTGTGTTTTGTCTGTTTTCTTTGTATTATTGTAGGGTGTTTACCTTTCGATATAAAGCACTTTGAGGCAACTGTTGTTGTGACTTGGTGATATGTAAACAAAGTTGAATTGAATGTGTAAA